CGACATTTTGATATTAAATTGAAATTTCAATCAATGTCCTGTCATCTAGCGGTTAATTGCTGAATCATGACGACTTGAAGTTATTTATTTAGTTCCCCAAAAAAGAAGCGACCGTATTGCAGGAGTATAAGCTTTACTTTCGTTTCTTGTAACGAAAAAATTATTACGATAAACAGAAAATTGAAAATTTATTTTTTTATTTACCGATAAAATGAAATATCACCACGGGTAAATTTTTTGGTGGGGCTGTCATTTTTGTACTCCGAAACAGCACAATAAGGCATTTTTTTACGAATTTATAGAATTTTTTGTGCTACTTGTGGAGATTTGCAATTAGCATTTTCACCTGATACTCCACATTTATTTATTGTTAAAAAAAGGTTGTAAATCTTCCCAAAAACAAATAAATAAATAAAATAAATTTGTTACGCGCCAGAATTGATACAACCATACCGTACGCTACAATGGCGAACTGAGCTAACGTAGGTCCTAAGAGACCTATAACTGGCATCCGTGTGAGGCTAACTAACCACTTCTACATTATTTTCTGTTCTGTGTCCCCAACCCTCAATAGGCCAGTATGCCAGACTATGGCCTAAGTCCTCTCGTTAATAGCGTTGCCAGGCGTACAGACAAAGCCGGACATAGTTATCCTTTTTGATGAGTGTCTGGCCAAATTGGATGGTGTCCGGTTTGTCAGACTTTTGTTTTTTTATATTTGACCAAGTTTTGCTTTTGTTTAATTTTGATTTCGATGGATAGCCCCTGCCATAATAGATGATTAATAATAAAGAAGACTGATTTAATGTTATTGTTACTTCATTACTATGATTAAAAAAGCATGGTGTTATATGAACATAAATTTGTAGTATTAACTACTATGTAATGTAAATGTATGTAAATGTAGAGTAATCGGCCTTTTTACACAAATGTCCGGCTAAACTAGCTGATGTGTCCGGTTATTCGGTTCTACGACCTGGCAACCCTATCCGTAGAAAAGACTGTGCCTACCACGACGTAGGGCTTTCAGGGTCGTATTCTAGAACTCTACTCAATGCTCAAGCCAGGATTGCACTGGCAACACAAGCACTGGAAATACGACCTTAATGGCAGAGAATTGAGTATGATTTCGAGTGCTTTAAACCATACTCAAATCCTAACTTGAGCATTGAGCATTTTTTTGAACATTGAGCAGTTCTAGAATACGACTCTTAGTCTCGCTACATTTCTGAAAAAGTTGAGTAAACGCTCAGTTTCGAAACTCCCGGGAAAAACAAGACTATTCCAAAAGGACGAGTAGGTATCCATATTTATACGTGGGGCGCGCTATAAGTTTCCGGAATGAATAAGAAAAAACACTATAAATGGTCAGAAATTAATTTATTGTTTCTCAAAATATTCACCGTTAGCGTTAATGCACTTTTCCTTACGAATGAACAAATTTTGAAAACATTTATGCCACTTCTCCGTGACAATCTCTGTAACATATTTTTCATATTCTTCGACAGCCCCTTCAGGTGATGAAAATCGATGACCGCGTAACTGGTTCTTAATTTTTGGAAATAAATAAAAGCCACAAGGTGCCAGATCGGAACTGTACGCGAGATGGCTCATAAGGTCAACGTTTTTCACCTTCAAAAATTCATTTGTCTGTCTGGCCGTGTGAGAACTGGCATTATCGTGGTGCAAGATGATACGGCGTTTACGGTTATTTTTACGGAGTTTGTCAATAACTTCCGCCTTATATATTATGGTGTCATTTAGAAATGTCATTTCGTCGGGGATAGTGCAAATCCGCGTATGTAGTAGTAACGCGCGGCTAAATTATTAAATTTCAAATAAACAAACGTTACTAACGTTTGCAATCTCCGTCAGAGCAGGGATCGATATACTCTGTACAGTCTTCACCCGGCGGCAGGAAAGACGATCTGTAGATGGTCGTGCCTTCGATCTATAACAATATAAGTTTTAGTTATGTGAGCATTGACCGTGTTATATGTAGGTTGATACACAACTTGTGTTTTAATTTATTGTTAGAGCGTTTGCGCAATACGTCCGACTCGTATCAAGGGGTCTACTCCCGTCAGACATCCGGTATCCGTAATAAGTAAAAAAATTAGTAGTAGGTATTCGACCAATTTAAAAGACGTATGATGCGAATAAAGCTTCATACTTGACATTGTCCTTTGGTCGAGTATTGCTTATTTGACAGTAATGGTTTCGGATGGAGAACGGGAATAGACTCCCTGATCCGAATCCGAGAAATGACGGTCCGAAATGTCACAGGGATCATTTTATCTCTAGGTGTACAAACGATACTCGTATTTTCTCGGATTGGAATAGGACTTAGTGCACAAGAGACATCCGAAGCGGGTCCGAGTTTTCTAGATTGTCGCTTACCACCAGGCGCACGACGAGCAAACAAATGGTCGTGTACCAATCACTGTTCACGGTACGACGATTCTCCAAAGCAGCAGTAGCCAAGTGTCGTTTTATTAAAAAAAGAAGCAATCATCCGCTTAGAGGCACTTTGCACGCGCGCCACTTTGGTTGGTTTCGGCTCATCTTGAAAGACCCACACGCTCGATTGCTGCTTTGTTTTGGGATCGTAACTATAAATCCATGTTTCGTCACCTGTTACTTATGTCCCACATCAAATTTGACGCCTCTTCGTTGAATCTGGTAAGCATGGCATTGCACCAAGTGACGCGATCCGTTTTTTGAGCCTCAGTCAAATTGTGTGGGATCCACCGAGAGCACAGCTTTTTCACACCCAAATGTTTGTGTTGTTGTTATTGATTGTATTTGACTCATGCCTATGACTAAAGATGCCCGAATCTCATGGTATGTCATATGCCTGTGTGTTTTGATCCTACGGCGCAAAGCATCGATGTGTTTGTTGTTCACAGCAGTGGACGGGCGACCATCACGAAATTCGTCACTGAGATTCACACGACCGCGTTTGAATTCTGCAAACCAGCTATAAATAATAGTCTTGCATGGTGCTTCATCGCAAAAGGCAGTATGAAGCCGAGCGAAGCTCCGCTAAGCTGGTAAATTACGCTTAAAGTTGTAGAAAATCATATCTATAATTCTAATTCTAATATAATTCTAAAATGACGCCACAATGTAAAAACAAGTGACAGTCAGTCAGATGAAACAAACTGTATTCTGCAGCCAAAGAGTTCCACTTTCAAATGTTGTAATTACTTGTTAAATATTGTTTATGTATGTAGCCGGTTCCGGAAACTTATAGTGCGCTCTATGTAGGTTAGACATTTACGCAGTCAAAGTCAAGATATGTTAATTAAGTCCTTCATTCACTCAAATTACTCATAAAATCAAAATGATTTACGAAAGTTTTTTTATCATTTCTATGGTACGCACGAAAGAAACAAAGGGCGTTTAATATAATTTCAGACAGAGAGGATCTGATTTTATTGCCCTCCTTCTTCAATCTCCACAGATTATACTAAGTTTCACTATACAGTGTTGCCATATCCATATAACCAGAATAAAAAATTATAGTAGATTCTTTAATACTGTTTAATTATGTGACGTAGATCTCAAAAGTCTCGATATTCCCCAGACTGAAAACATCTCGTGACTCGAAGATGCAAAAAAATTGACGAAAGTCGTGATTCCGGATATCGAAATTCCCGGAATGAAAGCCCTAGCACGACGTATAATCGTTTAGGTAATGATGATGATATTAGAAATTGATAGAAATTTATCCAGACTCAAGGAAACATTCTTATATCTCTGTCATTCAATGATTGTTATTCCACAAAACAAAAACATAATTCTAAATCTTATCTTTGGGATCGAGCAATCGATTTAGCAAATACATCCATAAACGAGTTATACCTTCACTGGTACTTATATACCTAAATAACGTAATTATATAATGAATGACAGTTTAAATTGATTCAATGACCTTGCCCACATCAATTTACGAGTCCAATTAAACTCTAGACTTCCCAATAACTTAATTGGTCAAGTTAACGAACTAATTGGTCGACATAACGAATCGAATAGACATGGTTCGTTGCACACTTGTCTACAGACGAATATCAATTTAGGTACTGTTTATGGATACGACAGATCTATCTCCGTTTTTAAGTTTTAGCGATTTGTTACACATTGGACTGTTATTTGCATTAACGCATTAATTCTACGGAAGTTGAACTAGTAGGATACTTGATTTCTTTAGTCATACTGCCAATAAGAATAAATAAGAAGAACCTGGAGCGGTTAATAGTTACCGGACGGATCGATGGTAAACGTTTAGAGGTCGCTGTCCCACAATATGGTCTCACCAAGTCTGTACGACTCTCGAGTCCCCAAGATGCGCTCCACTACAGAAGCTGTTTCCGCGGAGGAATCACAACCCTAACCCTCAGTAATGAGAAATGCGCGAGGAGAACACATTGGAAATCCTAACCTAAACCGAACCGAACCTAAAATTTTTAATTACCTTCGTGGCCGAAAGGTGACCTCGCTGGTCTGCCACGCAGGAGTTCGATTCTTTATAAAGATTATGAAGTTTGGCATTTTGTAATACTAAAATTAGTCATAAGATCACCTGTATATTAACCATTTATGGACAAAGTCTGAAATAAATTATTATTATTATTATTATCTTTATGAAATACGACACCTTTACGATTCACTACAGCTCTGGATGTTTTTCCTCAAGTATAAACTTAAAACTTCCCCGCCTATTCTTAAAATGCGAGCTAAAATATTATTTTTAAAATGACCACTGACAATACATATAATGCGAAGAAAAGAGCTCCTTTTTTGTTTAATAAACCAGTGACAAAAACCGCCTTAACCGCCAATAACGGGTTGGGTAAAAACCGAACTGTTTGACCAACCCATTATCTTTAAAAGATTTTTCTAAAGTTACTGAAATTTATAGTGGCACGTCAAATTTTAAAAATAAAGCAGTAAAAACGGATATATAAGATTGTCGTAAATTCTACGCTAAAACTTACTTGGAGGAGTCCATAATCGAGTATGCCCACTTGTACTCCTGGTACTCCATGTTGGCGGCGACCTGCGGCATCCTGGCGATGGCGGTCGCACCTCAAGCACTTTCACGAAGATTGGGGCACACTGCAACAAGAAATCCTTAAATCAGCTTGCTATATCAAGTTTCCACGCAATATCGTAGGAAGCAAGTGATGTCGAATCCTGATACCGCATCATCTCTCTGTTTAAGTCATATTTAGTTTCTAATCACTCCTAATTTCCTTTTAATGTAAAAGGCAATTAAACATTCTTATAATTAATCAATATGTGGTTAGGATTTTTTTACAGGTTTGTCTTGGTGGACGAATGTTTTGGAAATTTCAGTTGATGAGGTTTGTTACCATCATAGATAATCAGAGAGATAACGTATTAGAGCTCAGTAAATTGCATAATAATACATTATACGATACAATTGTCAAAATGTCGAAGGTGTTTGACCTTAACGAAGTAAGTCGCGGATCGACGCTAATTGTTTACATTTACAAACACAAATACTACATCTTTTGTTAACAAATAAAGGTTGAAATTTCTGAAGCTACATAAGGAAATATTAACGTAACTCGTCATAAGTTTACTACTTAAAACCTACTTGTCGCATGCGGTTGACCGCAATTTAATACAAACAAATTTAAGTTATTTTTCTAGTAAACCAGTTAGCAACGTTTGAAAGGTGAGTCTATATTTTATTATTTTAGTGAGTGTACAAAGGCCCGATGCACAAATAACCTTTTTGTACGACGTTTACTATATTAAGTGGAAATGTTCAACGTCTCTTGCAATTATGACCGCCTGGTTTCTACACCAAAAAATGTAGTAATAAGCGCGTTTGCAAACTGCATCCGATTGGTATTCGTTCTCAATCCGAGACGATAGAAATCCAGAAAACTCGGACCCATTTCAGATGTCGCTTGTGCACTAAGTCCGATTCGAACCCGAGTAAATACGAATATCGCTTGTACACCTAGAGATAAAATGTTCCCTGTCACATTTCGGAACCTCATTTCTCGGATTCGGAACAGGGGGCCTACTCTCAATCTCCGTCCGAAACAATTACTGCCAAATAAGCAATACTTGACCAAATGAAAAGGCGCGTGATGCGAATGAAGCTTCATACTTGATACTTGTCTTTTAATTTTGTCGAATATTACTTATTTGACAGTAATTGTTTCGGACGGATGTCGAACGGAGATCGAGAATAGACCCCCTGATACTAATCAGACGTAATGCGCAAACACTCTCTACATCGGAAATGAAACCATTTTTTCGGATCTCATTCGAGTATATTTGTTTCTCGAAACAAAAATTAAAACATGTTGCCCAGAAAAGTGTTAAATGGCGCTTTCGCCCTTTCCAGAAAACGTCGATGACACGGATTTAAAAAAAAAAAACTGTTTTTAAATACATGAATCCAATATTAAGAGGTTTCATACAAATTTTAGGCATATTGATGTAACGATAATATCGACTATTATTTAAGTATAGACATACCTAAGGTATAAGTTTAGACTTCACAAAGATTTCCCCCCGTCAAAAAAAAAAAAAAAAAAAGGTATAAGTTTAGACATGAACATATTTCTTACTTTTCGATCTATTTTTTATGATAAAAAGTGACAGGACGAACAAATCGTGTGCCTGTTCGTAAACAACAGGCACATAACATCCATAACAGTTGCAATGCCACTCAGAACTAAAATTCCGTCACAAAGATCTGAGGGGCACTGCCACTGCGCCACATAAAGTTGACAAGGTCCATGTGCCTGTACTTTCGACAACACTCTTACCCTTCTATACTAGAACGCAGTAATGCTCACATTACTGCATGGCGGTAGAAATAGGTAACATGACAGTACCTACTTCCTTGGACGAACTCTTCACTGTACGTGTCAACTGATTTACAAGAACCGTTTAAACTACCGCTATGTTTTTGTGTCATATTTCCGACTGTAATTTTGTTTAATATTATTATGAAGCCATATTGTGAATGGGCTATTTAGGACAGAATTTAAACAAAGCTACCGTTATTTTAGAACCAGCACAATGACTCTGCGGTGGTGTGCGTAAACAATACAACTTAACAATAATGCGGAAATTTAAATATGCACGTATGTATTATACGCACGCTGTCGTACTTTGTCGTAATCAAATAATGGGAATAAGATACGTAGCGATAACAAGAAAGTTTATTTCGAAGATTTATTCTATATACGGTAACCATTGGCCCTAAAGTGGGAGCGATGTTGCTGACTTTTGACATAAAGGTGCACTCCCACCGGCAAGGCGAAACGACTTCACGTTGCAAAGTTAACACAGATAATAAACACTCTATATAGGCAGCAATACGGTTTGCTGTTACAACAACAAAATATTTACAATTTTCGTCTCGCTCTTCGTCAATCGAGACTATTTCCATACAAAATTCAATACGTGCGTCTCCTCGCCTCGCCGGTGGAAACACAGCTTTACAGTTCGTTTGTATTATAAATTGCTTCTTTACAATTCCGCAATATAGCATGAACGCAATCGTTGACACTGTGAACTGAACGCAATCGTTGACACTGTGAACGGAGTATCTACTACCATAACGAGTGCCCTACCTCTGCAAGAACCCGTTTGGGTAGGTACCACCAAGGTACCTATTTCTACCACAAAGCGAGGAAAGTGAGTTCAACCACAGGCAAAAGATAAACAGCCGGCAACACAACTGCGATATTCTTCCTTACTGTCACACAAGTGTCACAAACAAATAGGCCGCGGCAGCGGTAGATATTGACTTTGCTAGTTTTAATACCAGAAAAATCATCTTTCAAAATTAGAACCGTTCCGATAACAGTCACGATTGAGAACCACGCACCCACCACGATATTACTTTAATGCCATCGAAAATATAGTAAGCATTTTCTTTTTATAAAAAAGGTGCGCCTTTATTTCATCTGATGGAAAGTGACGATGAGGTCGACAATGAAATATGCACTTAGATAATGCCTATTCACTCTCGCCTTAAAAAGGCCCAAGTTATAGCGTTTAGGGAATAACTCTGCAAGGCAGGAAATTCCAATCCATAACCATTCGCCATATAAATGTGGAAGCGAAACGCTTTGTGCGAATTCTTGGAACAACCCCAACATAGGGGTGGAACCCCAGCTTACGTCTAACCCCCGATGATGGAAAGGGGAATGCGGAATGAAATCATGCAATTCCATAAGACTCAACTCACACTGGCGCAGAGTTTTTTTGTTTTAATTTCACTGTAAGTAGGTACAGTGTGAATTTCAAGCTGCTGAAAAATTACAACTGCTTTAATATCAAAGTGACCAACCAACCACACAAAATTATCTATCACTTGATAAGTACGTGTATTAGGTTTCGTATATTCGGTATTGCTAAAGCCAACCATGACCACGGGACCTATAAAGCCCGAAATGTAAATTAGTTAAAAAAAAAAACGCGATTTTAGATCTCAAAAAATAAAATAACAATAGCGTAATTTCCAATATCTTTTTGCGTGTTTTATTTTCACATTCTTATTTAATTTGTATTCTGTAGTGACTGAGGTTCAATTTTCGTAAAGGACCACCTCAGGAGAATCATTTCATGTGTCAAATGTTAATAAGATAAAATATTCGAAAGAAAGAAAATACATTTATTTTGACCACAAATTACACCACAAAAGAAAAAAAAACAAAATAGAATTTAGGAAATGAAACTATATTTCCGGATTTAAAGAGCGTATATTTGTTTTTTCAAACAAACCGACGTTTCGGGCCCTTTACAGGTCCCATGGTCACGGTTGACCATGGGAATGGGAACAAATATACGCGATTTAAATCCGGAAAAATAGTTTCATTTCCTATGTGTAACAATCGCGAAAACCTAAGAACAAAATAGAATTTGTTTCATATTGTTTCATAAACGAAAAACTCAAACGTTGGACATTGGATGGATTTGAAAAATAAATAATTACAAAACAAAATTAAATTAAAAAACGGAAAAAACGGATTATTCACATAAATAAGGACACTTAGTATAAAAACATTTTGTGTAGTAGGTACAATCCGCGGTAACAAAAGGGTCAGTAACAGTTATTTACATACAAATTGAGGAAAGGAAAAATATTTTAAACATAAATTAATATTTTTTTGATACAGAACCAATACAGAAGGCTTTCAAACATGTGAGGTAGACGTAGAGAAATCATTGCAAGATTATAAACATTTGCCTTTTAGAAATAAAACATACTCTCTTGTCGTAAAATAAACTCATACTCCCCTGACGTATTTATATTACTGAACACGGGAGAGAACATTTCATTGAAATATCTGTAATAACAATCGAATGAAACAGATTTTTCCGTAGATGAACGTTGTAAAAAATTAAAATTTTGCAGAACTTTGTCTTTTTTTTTATTGAGCGAAGTTTAGTCAATCATATTTCGGGCCCCATAGTTCACTATCGGTATTTTTTGTTTTCATTATCAATTAAAAAAAATTGAATTCGTATCTTTTTAATGTCGAAAAACCGATTTTCCGTGTGGTCGAAATACGTCAAAACGTGAATTTTGGGTTTCACTTCACCTTAAAACCAAATAACAATCTATAATTTAAGTAATCCTATTTAACTTAATTGAATTTAACTTCGTATTACAAAGCTCTACGTTGTCTTATCTGAAAGCGAAAAGTAAGTGGCTTCACGAGTGTCTTATGTCATTGATTGCGTGCGTGGGCGGTTGATATATGGGTGTAGTACGCCTCGTAGGACTGTCGGCTATGTGGCATTTGACATTTTCACCATAACTCAGACAGGCGCAAGGCTTCCCACATAATGAAACCAATACCAGAAAAACTAACAAGACGCGAATATCGCTAGGTGATAAGATTTTGTATGTTTGGTATTCTGCTAAAAGTTAAGAGTAGTAAGTAACTTGACAGTGGCTATCCATCAAGCTACTATTCAACTACCATTGTATTTTTTTTGGTATTTTGCTCTTCAATGGCGAGTTGACGACAAGAAGGTAGAGTTTTTTTTTAATAAAAAATAAGTGCGCATATGACCTCCGTCTCACCTGATGGAAAGTGACGATGAGATCC